CTTTCTTTGAAGGGAAATCATCAAAGTTTCACTTGGCTTTTTCACACCTCCCACTCTCCTCCATCTAACCTCCAAGGACTCCAAGGTCATGACCACTTAGAGGGCCTCTTGCCGGCAGGAACGTGGACCTGTGGGTGGAGGAACCTCTCATTCAAAGAAACAAGCAGACTTCACTGCTGCTGCTGATCAATATACCATGAAGGGATGGACAAAGAAAGAGGGGCAGTCATTGATGTTGTAAGAACTAAGCCAAAACAATGACCATTCAGGTAAGATCTTCAGATTTCAGTTGACTGTGTACTCAGCTATGTGCTGTTTAACTGTGGATCTCAGTGATCCAGTTGTTTTATCCATGTTCAGGGCGAAGAGCCTGGGGTTATAGAAAATAAATCCCCATTGATCCAAAGTTATTGTGGACAGAAGCATTCTAGCGAATTGTCTATTCATTCCAGTAGATATTTACTCGGTTCTGTTAATGCCCAGGAAGAGAGAACCGAGGAAGCCAGGAACAGCATCAAGGTGATGGGAAAGGCAAACCTCCTATCAGGGATGGAGGAGACCAGACACATTTCAGACCTGCCACAGAGGGGCAGCGGCACAAAAGCCCAGCCACAGTGTCACGCTAGGCCTGCAGTACCTGCAGGTACCTTGGCCTGGCTTATTGGATCTGTCTTCCTTCTTTGGGCAAATATAGTCTAGTCCCACTGAAGAAAATCTTGCTGCATGTTTTTTTCCCCAGGCTTTGGAATGCTACCAAAACCAGAAAAGAAAATTCCATAAATCTCTGCTCATCTAGATCTTTCTTGTTCTGAAAAGAAACCCAGCACGAGTTCCATAGCTCCTGCAGCCCACACCACATTCTCCCTGTGAGCCCTACAGATTCGGGCCTGAACCATGACATTCAGCCGTTAATCATCCTCTGACATTAACCATTTTCCCAAGACGGAGTGTGGAACCGAGAATTCCTGGGGCACACGGGGGCCTGACAGCTGTGTCCGGGACCAGCTCTGCTCCTGAACACCATTATGCTTGTGCTGTCTCAGTTTCCTTATCCGCATCATTAGAAACACAGGCTCAGTATCTGTAAGTTGACTTGCTGCTGTAAGACTTCAAGTCTGTGCATTTCTTTTTTTTCACCGTGGCTTGTTTCAGCAGAAATTGTGTTTTATATTGTTTCCTCTTCCTCTTCACATGGCATTAACAGAACTAGATCTTTCTTGTAGTGTGCCCATTCACTTATTTAACAGGTATTGATTGAACATTTGCTATCCACAGGCACTATGCTGGTGGAAGGTGGACATGCTGCTGGTCCTTTGACAGTTCAGTGGTTCTCACACTTCAGCCAGCATCAGAATCTCTTGGAGGCTTCTGTTAAAAACAGATTGCTGGGCTGCACTTCCAAGAGTGTCTGATTCATAAAGTCTGTGGCCCCCAAATCTGTATTTTTAATAAGTGTCCAGGTGATGCTGAGGTTGGTAGTAGCAGGGTGTGAGGACCACATTTTGAGAATCACTGGTTTATCACATAGCAGTTGGTGACAGCACTATTTTACCCAGTGGCTCTTATAGTAACAGCTGGCATCCAAACTCCTCCTGAGGAAGAATCTGCCTTTGTCTGAGAAAATTCCTTAAAGAACTGTTTGGATTGGGTGACATCTTTAGATGTCAGGCAGCAGTAAGACACCAGGAAAGGAAACACACTCTTCAGTGTACACTGGCAGGACTTGGAGGGTTTGACACCTGAAAAAGAGGGGAGATGAACAAAGGGGATGAGAAGAAAGGAAAGAGAAAAAGGGCCGGGCAGGTGAGGAGCCATCCATCCATGTGAAGGCTGGTTTGCTTTACGGGGCTTCCTTGTGTGCTATAAACCTGTCTTTGTTTATTTTATTTTTATTTTTTTATTTTTTTGAGACAGGGTCTCACTGTCACCCAGGCTGGAGCACAGTGGCATGATCTTGGCTCAATGCAACCTCTGCCTCCCAGGTTCAAGCGATTCTCCTGCCTCACCCTCTCAAGAAGCTGGAATTACAGAAACCTGCCACCATGCCTGGCTAATTTTTGTATATTGAGATGAGATGGGGTTTTTCCATGTTAGCCTGGCCGGTCTCAAACTCCTGACCTCAGGTGATCTGCCCGCCTTGGCCTCCCAAAGTGCTGGGATTACAGGTTTGAGCCACCATACTCAGCCTCTCTTTGTTTATTCTCTGTCCTACTTGTCCTCCCCCAAACCTTTGATCCAAAGAAGCAGGAACCAAAGGGCATAGAGGCCACAAGAAGATAAGGCTCTCTAGGCTACAGAACTGGAATTCATGGTGGGGCAGAAGCCCATGTGGCCTGGCTCTCCAAAGGGCCAGAGACCCTGGATGACTTCTAAGTATCCAGTGACTGAAAGCAAAGTTCTCAGTGAGGTCTTGAAGACCTGGACAAGTATTTATTTTATTTTATTATTATTTTTTGAGATGGGGTCTCTCTATGTTGTTCAGGTGGTCCGTTCCTGGGCTCAAGCTATCCTCCCGCCTCAGCCCCCCGAGTAGCTGGGACCACTGATGTGAACCATTGCACCTGAAATTTTATTTAGTGTGTTTCTATTTTAAACTTGAGGTTTTAAAAGGAAGAATGAAGCTGAAATTCCATGAACATGACCATAATCAAAATTATTCTGTGTTGTACTAGTGCTATGAACTTTCTCAAGTGTATAGTTTTCTTTTACTTTTACCACAGTCTCGTCAGAAGAAAACACTAGTATTAGTCATGTATTCCTGTTGGGAAACTGAGGCATAAATAGACGACCAATAAAGCCATGGTTTCGAGCCTGGGTCTCCTGACAGCCTGTCCAGGGGGCTTTCCTTAAGGAGACGCTGGGGAAAACCTGTTCTTAGAGCTCTGTTTTTCTCTCAAATGAGGTAGCTGCAGAGTTCAATCTGAATTCTGAGCAAATTAGTATTTGGAATGGTATCTCAGAATATCCCAGGGAGGAGGCTAAATCATTTTGTCCCTAACTTAACACCTGACTTTCAAACCCAGAGCCTCACTGTTTCCTTAAAAACCTGCCTGTCATTTGCCTGCAGGAGGGAAGCAGGGAGGGCTGTGATCAAGCCTAACTCTCCACATTTACAGCCGCATGTTACACTCTGATATCAATCTTGTAGCTGGAAAGGTCTATATAAGAAAGAGCCAGGGCCAAATTCTCTATTTTTTGGCAGCCCTGACTCCATTCATCTTGATGGCCGACAGACAAATCAGCTTTATTCTAAATCAAAATGATGGTGTCCTGGCAGTTCCTGCCCAAGCCAAGGAGAACTTAGGATGGGAGGGTGCGGAGGGCCCCCCCACACTTAACTCTCCTCTTCAGATATCTTCTCTAGCCAGGTGAGATCAGGCTAAAATTAGATTCTCTAACAGGGAGGAAGAGGACAAGATTCCACAAAACCCAGGACTGAGCAGAGTTTGTGATTCAGAAGAGGAGAGCCTTCATCCTGGGAAGCAGGATACTGAGTGAGGTCCTCTCTCTCCCGGTCCCCAGACCCCACACACCTAGTCTTGATGGCCAAAGATCCTCACCAGAAGAGATGATAGCATTTATTACACCTTAGTGTATAATAATCTCAGTGAAGAGGAGCTTAATCGCAGTTCCTCTTCACAATTACCCTTAAAGTACATTTGCCGCAGAAGAGAGAGCCTAGGTCTCAGAAACCCGAAGCGATCGGCCCTGGTTAGTAGGTGGCAGGGTTTGTATTTGAACCTGTGTTATTACAAAGCCCATATTCTTCTCTACTCTTCCATCCCCTGGTTCCCCAAAGCCTTCCTGTGAGAAAATAACAAGTGATTGTTTTTTTAAATACTAAATCACATCTTTTTAAATGTGGAGATTATGGTCTTAGTTTTTTGATGTGAAAATGTCTATTCTTTGCCCCAATTCACGGTGATGGTAGGTAACAATCACCTTCTCCTCCTCTTCCTTTTTCTTCACTTGACCAATGGTGAAAAGAAGCTGACAGTCTTATTTTGGTTCCATGTTTCCATTAAATTTTTTTTCTTGGTTCATAAATCCAAAAGTCTGGGACCCCTGCTTTACACAGAGAAACTCATCACAGTGTTAAGAACAGCATAGCTGGGATCCAGGGCCGCCGCTGTGTCCTCGGCAACACGCTGTTAATTCAATTTCGGATTTACTATCTGACATTGTACAGTTGCTTCAAGTTTGGTGATAAACTTTAAGTATGACTACCAGGGACTTCTTAGTCAAAGGCCATCTCTTCTGTAACCTGAAGCTTCTTTTTCCTTTAAGATTTCCACTTTCCTTCCTGGCTGGGCCCATATGTCTGGGTTCTGGTTTCTTAACTCAACAGAATGTGCTAATCAGCTAATACTCTCCTGAACCCTCTTTTATTATGTTCTATACAGTTATTTTTCTAGGTTGAAGCTGGAACATATTTTTTATATATTAAATGTTCTCATGATTTTTACAAACGGTATGAGATTGCTACAGGCCTTATTAAATATTACAACGCCCTTAAACTTGAACAAAGCCAGTCTGGGACAGACAGTAAGTCCGCAGCCTGACAGGAAGCCCTCCCTTGCTGACTGCACATGCCGTTGGGTTAATCAGCTGTAGGACGGAGCCACTGCTGACGCCGCTCCTCTTCTGAACACTGTCACCCGTGGACTCAGGGCAGCTGCAGGCCCTCCACTCCCAGGAGCTATGTCTTTAGACACGGCTCTGTGTCTGTGTCATCCCAGCTTCAGGGCCTCCAGAGTGTCTCTCAGCTCTGAGTCCTGCAGTTTCCTTTATGGACGCAGTAAATCATTCTACACACCATGGAGTACAGGAACAGTCTGTATTATTAGACCTACCTGCTTGGCTGTTTTAGAGGCAGATTCTCATATTGAAACATTTTTCTGCTTCACTCATTATTATTATTCGTTTTTAGTTTTGTTTTTTTTTTTGAGATAAAGTCTCCCTCTGTCACCCAGGCTGGAGTGCCGTGGCATGATCTTGGCTCACTGCAACCTCTGCCTCCTGGTTTCAAGTGATTCTCCTGCCTCAGCCTCCCTAAGTAGCTGGGACTACAGGTGCATGCCATGACACCCAGCTAATTATTTATTTATTTTTGGTATTTTTTAGTAGAGGCAAGGTTTCACCATGTTGTCCAGGCTGGTCTCAAACTCTTCACCTCAGGTGATCTGCCCAACTTGGCCTCCCAAAGTGTTAGGATTACAGGTGTGAGCCACGTGAAATATTTAAATAAAACACCCATGGAGTGTTCCTTAGAAGCTGACCAGGGGATTCTGGTTCTGTTGGGCCACTAGTGTTGGTTTCACAGAGGTGGCAAGGCTCTGTCACTTTCTTTCTCCATCTCTCCTGTTCACTCTGCCCTCCGCTTTCTTTTCTTTCTTTTGAGACGGAGTTTCGCTCTTGTTACCCAGGCTGGAGTGCAATGGCGTGATCTCGGCTCACTGCAACCTCCGCCTTCTGGGTTCAGGCAATTCTCCCATCTCAGCCTCCTGAGTAGCTGGGATTACAGGCACGTGCCACTGTGCCCAGCTAATTTTTGTATTTTTAGTAGAGACAGGGTTTCACCATGTTGACCAGGATGGTCTCGATCTCTTGACCTTGTGATCCACCTGCCTCGGCCTCCCAAAGTGCTGGGATTACAGGCTTCAGCCACCGTGCCCAGCCCCTCTGCTTTCTTACTCCATGTTCTCCACCTTCCTTTGCTCGGTGAAAAAGAATTAGTTCACTTCATTCATTCAACCATTCCCCCATTGGCTCATCTGTTCATGCCTTCATTCTGAGTGCTGCATTTAAGTGCCATGGACACTGCAGTGAACAAGACGGGTGCTGCCCTCACAGAGGGTGTGGTCTGGGAGGTGAGACAACAGTTAACTGGGCATTTACAATGTAGCGTGGTGTGCGCTACCCTGGGGTTGAGCACAAAGGGGCCCTGGCCAGCCTTGGCCAGGTCAGGCAGGGCTTCCAGAAGGCCTGCACTAAGCCGAAGTCTGAGTCCTCAGCACTGGGGAGGCAACGAGGCAGCTAGGCAGATGCTAGTGTCGTTGGCTCTCTGGAATCTTTGCATATGGGCTGTATGTTTTCTGTTTGGTAACTTTAAAGTGGTTATCTGACCATGATAGGAAACAAGGTGGCAGATGTGACAGGTAGAGGAAATAATGGCATGCAGAAGCTGAGAGATGATGGTGCCTGATTTTGATGTAGTTAAATCAGCAAAAGTGCAAATGGTGATTTGAGTGCGTGCGTGTTTTGTGTCGTGTGCGTGTGTGTGTGAGCTATTCATTTCTTGTTTCCTGTAATTAATCCAGTTTTCATATTCTTGTGAATTAACATCACTGAACTGAGACTAGATTTTCTCCTGAACCAAAATAAGATACTGAATTAAGAGTGTAAGAATTTAAGGAAACTTTGCTTTCAAAATCAAGACCAATAATATCTCTTGCCCTTTGATTTTTCTCTTTCTCTTGAGGAGAGCATTATTTTGATATATTTTTTGCCATTCAAGTATTTATAAAGGATTTCTGGAAGTCGCTTTTTACCTTAATGAGTTGAAGCATCATTTCTGATCAAACTTGCTTTGCTATCTCCTTTTCACTCCTTGCATCTGTTTTCATACTTAGGGAATATATGAATGCAGAGAACAGGGAAAAAAAATCTTAGAAGGAAGTGGACTAGTGCTCCATGAGTTACATCATTTATGTGTTCCTTCTTTCCATGATGTGGATTTGTTAAAATTCAAGTGAGGCAATTTTAACGCAAGATGTTATTGGGGACTTTGTTTTCCTGGCTGCTGAATCAGAAAGAAGCCATGCATGACTACTCTGATTGTTAGTACAGGTGCAATTATTCTTAGTCAAAAGTCTTGGTTTTCCTTTATCTCTAAAAGGGAGAAGAAAATGGGAATCTGTCCTCCAGATATATTATGAAAAACGATGAAAACAGTTGTTAAAAGTTAGTGATTAAAAATCTAAACAATAAGATGACTATAAGTAACAAGAGTTCATTGTGTATATTCAAATAGCTAGAAGAGAGGACTTCAAATATTCCCAACACAAATTACCCTGATTTATTAGCCATCGTAGACATGTATTCAAATATCACAATGTACCCCATGAATATGTACAATTATGTGTCAATTAAAAATAATAAAAGAAAAAAGCCCAAGCCAATCAATCAGGGGACAATGCAAACTCTAAAAAAACTTCCCTGGTAATTGGAAAAAAATTGTTTTTGATCTCTAGCACATAAAATCTGTGCATTTCCCTTATGTAAATTATACTTCAATAAAAATCAGTTATAAAAATACAAACACAAAAAAAGCTTTCAAAAAGACCCACTCCTCTTTCTGGTGTATAGAAGAGTTTAATTGTAATTCATCCTGAAATTTTAAGGGAATTGTTAAACAAATGAATTAGCTGCCTAACTAAAGCCTGCCCCAATCCAGTGATTTTTGATCATATCACTGTTTTATTTTCCTGATAGCATTTATCATTATCAAATTATCTTGCTTATTTGTTTCTTTATTATCTTTCTCCCCTAGTATGTTGGCTTCTTGAGATCAGAGACTTCATCTTGGTCATGTCTAACTCTTCCTCTTCCAGCATGAAGCTTGGCACATGGCAGTGCTTTCATAAGCATATGCCAAATAAATGAATGAATGAATATTTCTATCAGCACTTCCTTAGGCTTTTTTACACACACACACACACACACACACACACACACACACACACATATTTGCTATTATACAATCAAGATTGCTTAAGTAATTCAGGTTCAGGGACTGAAAAAAAATTGAATTGTCATAGGCTTAAGGATCAGGAGCCCAGAGCCCAGTGACATTTGTGTATTAATTTTGGTTAGACGTTGGATTGCACTTACTGTCAATTTGTCATGTGAAAATGCAACGTTAGTTTTTATGACATACTAATAGCTCCGGAGAGTTGTAATTAAATAGAAGCAATTTTTGTGAGATATCAGTATTAGGTCTGGAAATAACAGATGAATGGATAAAGAAAACAGAAGAGAGTACACTGGGAGTCTGACGCAACATAGGCTATTACATTTATGGAAATGGAAGTAAGTGACATTTGAGGGATTAAAAAGATCTTTCACAAGTATTTTTTTTAAATCCACACAAGTGGATTTGGCTTACTGGAACCCTGATCACATTATAGAATAATACTTTAACTCCATCATAGGGGAAGGGCAAGTTTTTTCATCATGCATACTTAGTGGAACTGAAAGCTGTTTTAGCAACGTGCTCTTATGTGGTATTAGGCCACTTTCTTTGGAAAAATTCAAAGTGCTTTTCAACAAAATTTCAGAATTACTCCTCACATTCCAAGGAGAAGATGGTGACATTGTATAATTCAAAAAATGAGAAACCAAGACCCAGGAGAGCCTGTCTCAAAATCAGGATGGGGTTCCAGAGAATCTGCTAGAATATAATATGAGCCTTATAATTCTCAGCTGTCTCCCCAGATTTTCTCAGTTGTTTGATCCAGTTGCTTTCCAAGTGGCAAAGAACCTATTTGATCAACATGCCTTTTTCATTCATCAAGGTAAATTCTAAATTTTGCTTCATGTGCGCTGAATGGAATCAAACAAGAAACACTTGAGAAGCCTAAAATCATAATTGAGAATCGGATCTTCCCATCACTGAGGGAAATGACTGTGATGAACACCTAACAGTATGGCAGTCAGAGAATGAGATGGAATGAATGGAGGCACTGAAGCAACAGAGATGACACAAAGCAGGTCAAGACCTGAGAACATGCTGTTCAAGTGGTGGCTGCAGCTTGTTCTCCCTCAGCCTGGGCTCCCTGGGGCAACGCAGACCCAAGGTGAGCTGAAATTGTACCCGCAGTTCTTGTTGAGCAAGAAAGGGTTTTCTCGGTGGAATTCCACAACTGAGTTGGAAAATAAAGATTAAGATACAAGCGTGTGCCTAGGGACAGACAAGGTGACTTCTATAACATGGAGAGAAGGGAGCTATGCTGCACAAAGTGGAAAGGGAACGCTGTCACCACTAAATAAATGTAGGCAGAACAGACTCAAAGGGGGCTCTGAAGGGTGAAGCCCACTGAAGTTGTGTACAATTCACTATGGAAGGGAGACTGGAATCATAGCTGACTTAGTTGAACTTATATAGGTGAATCAATAATTTGCCTGAGAGATCCAATTTTGGATTTAAATGATCTGAGTGATCTTGCCCTAAAGTCAAGCTCTGTCCAAGAGCCCTAGTAATTGAGGCAGTGGAACAGCTCTAGACCAAACTGGTTGGGTCAGCTCTATCCATGCCTTTGTAAGTGGTTTTAACCATTTCGCAAGAGTTAGGCATGATGTGAGGTTAAGGGAGCTTTCCTGGGAGGGGATGCTGGGGAGTAGGATGGCTCATCCACAAGCTAAGGGTCTGGCTTGAGCATTTGTGGTTCAAATGCATGCATTGCAAGGTATGGTTTGCCTTGTGTCAACGAACCTGAGAGCAGTTAAAAGTAAAATATTAAATGCCAGCTGTGAGTGTGTTGTAGTTTATGTGAAAGTGCTTTGAAAACTTGAATGCTGTTTAACCTTTTCCTTTGCTAACAGACCATTTTGAGAATTTGATGAAAATATGGACCCACTTCCCAAAAGAAGTGCATACCAATATGCTTATACCTTTATGATTTTCTGTTCAAATTCAAAAAGTTCGCAGATATTCTGATGTCATAACTCCCCTGATATAAAGAGATGTATAAGTGTAAAATGTTATTGAGTATTCTTTTTACATACTAAGTGAATAGTGGTGTGTAGAGTTGTATATTTAACATGATCTCAATGGTATAATATATATATAGAAAAGGATATAAGCTTGTGGAAAAGACTGGAAGGATATGCACTAAAATGTAAATAGTGCTTATATTTGGGTGATGAGATTGTGGGTGATCTTAATTTTCTTCTCTAAGTCTTGTTACATTTTCTCAATTTAAAAATATTTTCACTATTTTATTGTTAACAAGAATAGCTGTGCCTTGTGACTGATTACAAAAATATGGGACAGAGCTTTCAAAAGCAAATCTAGGCTGGGCGTGGTGGCTCATGCCTGTAATCCCAGCACTTTGGGAGGCTGAGGCAGGTAGATCACCTGAGGTCAGGAGTTCGAGACCAGCTTGGCCAACATGGTGAACCTCCATCTCTATTTAAAATACAAAAATTAGCTGAGCAGGTGCACGCCTGTAATCCCAGCTACTCAGTAGGCTGAGGCAGGAGAATCGGTTGAACGCGGGAGGCAGAGGTTGCAGTGAGCCGAGATTGCACCACTGCACTCCAGCCTGGGCAACATACAGCAAATCTAAAAAGACCCTGTAGTGGACCCTCTTATGGTGGCTGCTCTGTTCACAGGAAAGTAGTCTCCCTTATCCTCTCTTTCACTTCCTGCAGTTTAAGTTATCCTCAGTCAACCTTGATCCAAAAATATTAAGTTATTTGACCTGGGTGGGTGGAGATGGGTTTGGAGAGGGGAAACCACATCCACATTACTTTTATTACAGTATTTTGGTATGCGTTTTAGTTTATTATGAGTTATTGTTGTTAATCTCTTATAGTGCCTAATTTATTAATATAAATTAAACTTTATCATAGGTGTGTATATATAAAAAACATATAGTGTATGTGTAGGGTTGGTACTATCCTTGGGTCTGGGATAGTCTTGGAACATATCCTCCTTATCCACCAGGACCACTGTATTTACCAGTCTCTGAGATCTGGTGATTTATACCATGGGAACATTTCTCCAGGCCTTCTGATTGGTTCAAGGATGGGGGCCCCTGACTCTAGCTAAACCAATCATTGTCTTTTCCCAAGGTTTTTCTGAACTGTAACTAGCAAGAGGCCAGCTCCTCTGTGGTGGCAGAAGCTGTGAAAGTGAGGCTTGGAAGCTTTTTATTTTTCGGTGAGGGAAAGGGGGCACATTTTCTGCTGGTTTGGAAGAGAGAGAAAGAGATGGGGATGGGAGAGAGGGAGAAATACCTGATGGCATTTCAGTCCCTGGCTCCAGTTGCCCTTGAGCCCACTGCACCCTTGTCCTGCTTGCATTTTACTTTTTCACTTCTTTTTCTGACTTTATAGATACCCTTCTACTCTTCCAGTAGATTTTCTTTTTGCCTGAACTCGTTAGAGTTGGATTATTTCTGGCACCCAAAACCAACAAACACATACAATTAACAAAAGTATAAGCAGTCATATTATATAACTTGGATTATATTTACAACCCCAATCGTGGAGTACAGAAAATCACCAATATTACTTGACACAAAGAGTGATTGACTTTGTGTGTCTGACCCTGTGCAGGACAGAGGGAGAGAAAAGACACAGACAAATTGAAATTTTTGGTTCAGATCCTGAAATCATCTTGTTTGTTAAGGAGGCAAAACTTGTCTTCTCAGCTCTATGCAGAAACAGACAATAAGGGGATTGTTCAAACTCTAGGTTATGACCATTCAAATTACAAGTCTGTTCTCTAGTTATGAATGTGATGCTTTAGATAACAAATTTACATGGGTATAAAAAAGAAATATATCTTCTAACTCAGTGAGCTAGAAAAGAATCTCTGCATTAACTTGGCAACCTGAAGATGTCTGAGCTCTGCTAAAGAGAAGATCTCAGCAAATCTGTAGAGATTCTCTACAAGAATAATTAACTCTGCACATGTGTTTGTGCTCTTCACAGCCAATTCTGTTTCAACAAATGTTTAACTATAATTAGATTAGCAATAGATACTGGGACAATATTCTAGAAATATTTGACCTAGTAGAATTTCATAATGACCTTCTTAATAAAATATAACTCACCTAAGTGAAAAGCTCCAACTTCAAATCTGGCCCTACCTGTATCCACAATGACAGTGTGGAAAATTAGATCTGCCTTTGACAAATATATGTTTCTACTGGGCTGACAAATGGCCTGCCCAGGATAATGTGGCAAGCTGGTGATGATGGAATCACCTCTACCTTTGGAGGTTGGTTATGGTGGCACAACCAACCATAGTTGGTTAGTGGTGGCTAACGCCTGTAATCCCAGCACTTTGGGAGGCCAAGGTGGGCAGATCACCCAAGGTCAGGAGTTCAAGACCAGCTTGGCCAACATGGCGAAACCCCATCTGTACTAAAAGTACAAAAATTAGCCAGGTGTGGTGGTGGTGCCAGCAGTCCCAGCTGCTTGGGCGGGTTGCAGTGAGCCAAGATCGCACCACTGTACCCCAGCCTACGTGACACAGCAAGACTCTGTCTCACAACAACAACAATAACAACAACAAAAACCACATCAAACACTGAGATTCTAATTTGAAACCCCTACCCAAAATACTTACTTCATAGCTATAGCATCAAATCCAAAATGTCGAATCATCTAAAGATGTTAGACGTGTAAGATCAAATTACTCAAAGTCTTAGTCTAAAATGTTGTGATAACAATATCTCTCAGCCTTCAAGAAACATGAATGTAGCTTTTACTTGGATTAGAATATGTAGGTTTTAGTACATTGCTTAAAGAAAAAAATTTAGCCTAAATTTAGTCTAAATGAGACATTAAAAAATTTAGTCTCATTATCTTAGAGTCACTCTAGATGTAAACCTCAACATTCTTTTTTTTTTTTTCTTTTTGAAACAGAGTTTCACTCTTATTGCCCATGCTGGAGTGCAATGGTACTGCAACCTCCGCCTCCCAGTTTCAACTGATTCTCCTGCCACAGCCTTCCAAGTAGTTGGGACTACAGGCGCATGCCACCACACCCGGCTAATTTTTTGAATTTTTAGTATAGACAGGGTTTCACCGTGTTAGCCAGGATGGTCTCGATCTCCTGATCTTGTGATCCACCTGCCTTGGCCTCCCAAATGGCTGGGATTACAGGTGTGAACCACTGTACCCGGCTATTGTGGGTTTTTATCTGAATTATCAAATTACTTTTCAGAAATGTACCAATTTTACTCACATCAGCAGAGGGAGAGTAAGTATTTCATTGTTCTTTCTCCTCATCTCAGGCGTTCACATACCTAAATATGTTTGCCCCAAAGCACCTCCACTGGTGCCGCATTGCTTCTGTTCAAAATTCTTTGATTATTAATGAGGAAGAATTCTTTTCTTGTTTCTTGGCTTTTGAAACAGCTGACGTCTGAGAATGAATATGTCCTTTACACATTTTACTCTTTTTATTGATTTATGTAACCTCCTTCAGAGTGGCAGTTTCAATCTTTTATCTGCCATGTCTGCTACAAATGTTTCCCCTCATTTGCTTACTTTTTAACTGTGTTCTTTTTTATTTGAAACTCAGAGATTCTAATATTTTTTCTTTGTGATTTCTTTTATTTTGCCTATGTTTAAAGTCCATCTCCACTCCCAAAATCAAATTCATCTGATTTATTTTGACAACATAAATAAATCCTGTCAATTCACCGGAGCACAAGAGATATTTGAAGTAATAAACTCATTTTAATTTTGAATTGTATTTTTTGTTTACGCTATTTTAAAAAGAAAGAAAGGAGAAGACAAGAAAAGAGGGCAGATTGAAAAGGCAAACATCAGTACTGCCAGGATCTAAGAGTGTTTGGGGGATCCAAGGCTCTGTGTAGAAGCAGAAGCCAGCAGTGACTTACCTCTGCCCTGGCAGTTACTTCTGGGTTTCAGGTTAGCATTCTGACCAGTCTGGAAAATAGCTAGAGGCCTGGATTTGCTGTCAACAGCCGCAGTGCAAGTTATAACTGAAACGGGAACCTCTCCTATCTCACCTGACCATCACAGGGGTTAAGTGCCTGGGAATCCAGTGATGAAATGAAGAGGGATTTTTGAAAGAAATCACAAAGAAGTAAGTGGGGGAAAGACTGGGAAGCCTGGACTCCTGACTTTTCCTTCTCCTCCACTCCTTCCCTTCCCTACTCGACATCCTGCCCCCAGGACCTGGATATTGATTTACAAGGAGTGGAGAAAGGACATTTTTTAAAATTTCTACTCAACCAAGTTTTTGTCTAAATCGAACCACACTGCCGTTTTTCTCTTTCCATCCTTGAAACTCAGATTTGTGCAAAAAGGGGTAGGTAGAATATAGTAAAGACCAAACCAGATAAAACAGGTTTTAGTCTGGTGGAGTCTTCTCATTTCAGGTTTGTGTCTGGAATTAGAGCTTTAAAAATTGCCCCAAAAGAACAGTAGTTGTCTCTATTATGATTAATCAAACTCTCAGACCGAGAGTCCAAAGGCTACTCCTATTGGCTCACCGGGGAACAATGAAGTTATTATGTGATAAACATATTCAATGAACGATGAAAATGATTTTTCATACATTGGCTATGGCAGCATAATTTGGACAAAAGAGTGCTAGATAAGCAGCCAGAAAGTTCTAGAATCAATTATACCCACTATGTGACCTCTTGAAAACCAATTTGCCTCTTTGAGGCTTAGTTTCCTAATCCATATAACTATCTACACACAGAATAGAGATCTGCAAAGAAGCAGGGAGGGCTGGGGGAGATACACAGGGTGCTAATTAGAGGAATGAAAATGATTTCTTCATGTCACTTTTCGTGTTCTGAAATGCCCAAGGTTTCGTCATTGCCCTTACAGTAAAATAAAATTGTCTTCCAAAATTTGTAGCAATCCAGCTCAATCTTATCTTGCCTCCTACAAGCGATAAAAAAAGGCCAGGGCAGGTTAGATTTGAGTATGCATCCTGGTCTTGCTATTTACTGTGCCACCACGGGCTCATTATTGAACTTTTCAGAGCCTTTATTTCCAGCTATACGAATAGGGATGACAATGCGTCTTTCCTGCAGATCTGCCGCAAGGGCTGTTTCTGCTTATGATCTGCCTTGCTGTTATCTGCAAACTCCACTGCTCTAGCTCAAATCCCACATGAAACCTTTTTCCTGAGGTCTTTACTGACCTCCCATATAGCCCCTATGTGTGCCAAAAATTTTTGTAGATCAAAATAATTTAAACTGAGAGTTACCTGAATCTTTCTAGTGTGGCCTGCCTTGATAACAGGGAACTACTGCTTTCTCGACTCTTCCAACACCCTTGTTTTTTTTTGCATTATACACACTTTCTACTTATCTCTATTGTTGCAATTGCAGTATTGCCTGAGCGTTATCCGTGACAGTCATCACATGGGTCATCTCTTGATTATTGAACCAGAATTGTAATCATGTTGTAGTTGAGAAAAGAAAGAAGATCTGATAAAGACTGATTTTAAAAATACAATAGTAATTTAAAAATAGCAACAAAACTAAATCAGGGCAGAAGACCCGGGCAAGATAAGAACTTACTGATCAACAGACAGTGTAGATGTACACTGGTAAATGTACCAGGTAAATACACCAACCATGAGTTTCTTCTGGGTCATACTGCTCTAAAGCAATGAAGGAAAATGAGCAAGTAGGGGAAGAGAAATCAGATTCGGAAAGACCTTGTGATTTCTTGAGTAAATTGTTATGGATACGGCGCCCCCTAGTGCACCGAACAACACAGGTGCCCCAGTGTGCAGGAGCTGAGAGCTCCGGAGCTGAGCAATCTCATCATCCCCGTCCCCAACCTTACTTGAAACACCTGCGATTTCTGTTTCACCATTGCTTTCCTTTCCACTGCACAAGCAACTGTAGGCCAGGGAAGAAAGGCAGACAGATGTCCTTTATTTAGTTGGATATAAGCGCTGATTCTCATGGAAGTCGTGAATTAATTCGAGGTACTCAAATAATATTAAAAAGTATAAAAAAAAGTTACTGTGAAAAGAGTTTCTACTTTTTCCTGAGATAGAGGAATGTAATTAGGAGAATAAGCAAAACTGAAAGATGATTCCTTGTTATTTTCTAAAAATGTTATTTGTCCCCATCTTCTTTTTATCAAAATGTTCATCATCTGATGCAAACATATTTTCTTCAAGCAGGATACATGGACCAAAACTGAACCAAAGCAGAAGGAAAGCAGCTTTTTAAATGAGAAAAAATGGAATGTAATGATTTGCATTAAAGCATTCTTTCTCAAAGTGTAATCTCCGGAACACTAGTTCCACAGGATATTAATGGATCTTATGCAAATAAGGGTTTCATGGCAAATCGTTTTGAGAAATTTGGAATTCAACAAAGATAAACTAATGTTTTAACATTCTTCAGAAGGCATGCATCCTCAGTATGCTCTGAATATCCCACCATACTGTGTAAAACAGCACTATGAACTGCAGCACTTCCAAAATCATTTAACACAATAGTTTCCTTTTCATGCCTATCTCACACACTTGGTTGATGAATTATCCTTTGGGAATATGCATTGGACCAGAATTTCATCAGTTTCCAACACATAGGAAAGTGTGCCGAAAGGAGAAGAAAATAGTAAATTTGATACATGCAAAACTTAAGGTGACTATAAGCAAGTTTGTGGTCAGTGTCATAACTCTCTTCTGCATTTGAAAGATCAGTAATACAATACATTAAGTTTCAACATGGCAGTCCTATGGGAGTAAGAAGAATCAACCATGCTGAAAACATCACCAGCCCGCAAGATTATTGCCAGATTTCTCTCACGTCACAGCAGTGCTCTACTTCTGAGAATGAGAAATGACCCTCCAAGAAGTTTAGTACCTCCGTCCTGCCAGGTTTCCATCTTTTACTAAGACTTTTCTTTGTGCACAACCTGTACTAATACTCATGGATGTTTTAGGCTCCTTATTACTATTAGTCATGGGATCACAGATACACACGGTTCTTTAAAGAAGTTAGAGGAAGTCTGTATTTCGTACAAGCTGTGAATTAGAGATGAATCTGGTAACTCACAGCTAGACAAACTCATCCCAAAGAATGATTGAGAAAAATGGAACTCCACAGAGTGGTTCATCTTGAATGATGGCACAGTAAACATAACAGTGGAAACCAGGCCAGGAGGAAGGGACCGATGGTTCTTCAGGACAGGTCCTTGCTGCATTTGCTGTATCTCATGTCAGGAGGATGTGCTTGCTCCTGGCAGCTCAGTTCACATTCAGAAGTGCTACTGTCCATGGACTTATAGTATGTTAGGCAACACCACTTGCAGACATGAAGGAGTGGGGACTTCAGGTGACCTGGAATGGTTATATGTAATGCTGTGGCCTCTGGCTGGGGATGTAGTGTTTTGGGGCCAGAACAAATCTTTCATCAGCTTAGGAAAGGTTGTGGCTCTCAGTCTTTTAGCATTTAGGGGCCAAGGGTGGGATATGGTTCATCCCAGAAGCAGCTCTTGGTTTTCAGTAGATGTTCTATTTTCTCTCTAATGTTTTCCAGCTGAGTTGATTTCAGACAGATGGAGGTCAAATGATTTATTCTGACGCCCAGTGAAACAGAGCATCTGGGACTTGAACTTGGGGACTTGACGGGTGGGCAGCTTGCACCCTAGTCAGTCAACTGCTCTCCTCCCAGGTTTTCAGCGCCTCTCTGGTTGCACCTTGAAGGCAGCCTGCTGAGTCTGGCAGGGCCCGTCCCCTGGGGCGTCACCGCTGGAATAAGAGACCCGAAGAGGCCTGTGACAGGTCAAGTCTGAATGCTCTGGCAGAGCGGTGCAGGGCAGACTGCTCCACGCCTGCTCAAAGCACACAGCGTCTGGTGAAAGCCAGATTGAAGATAGCTAAATGCTCATGCCAAGATTCCAAAAGGAAAAACTTAGCTCACAATTTTCCTTTGCATGGTGATTTTTCATCCTTTCCTTTTTCTTTCTGTAAAAAGGGAATCCCCGTGTTTACAAGTTGAAATCCAAAATGCACAAGTGGTCAGTCCACAATTCTGTGACCCATGAACATCTGTGGGCCTGGGTGTTCCTTGGGAATCTGCAGTGTTCAGAGCAGCGAGCCAAGCCTGCCCTAGCAGAAGGGAATTCTCCAGTGAGTCGAACAGGCCTGCAAGTGCCTGGGGTCTGGTCTCCTCTGGTTCTGCTTTCCTGGGACATGCCTGTGCTTGACTTCCACTAGTTTTATGAACTGCATTTTGACTATATTTTTGGAGGTGGGTTCATCACTCCTTACAGGAAGTAGGACATGGATCTTCATTTTTCCTTTAAGAGAAATAAAACTCTGTAATCTGAGATGGGCAAGCATGCCCCAAGTCTGTTTACCAAGGAACAAGAACCTCTCTGTGTCCTTTAAGCAGACAGAAAAATCAAGAATAAAATATTTATTTGGCATTTGTCTCTGAGGACTTAAGTGACTGAAAACCAATAGGGCCTCCCCTCCTTCTGTGGAAAGGTGAGTCCCATAGTCCTGTGTCCCCCAGGAGAGCCCCACAGAGAGGCTGCTCCTCCGTGGCAGGTGGTAGTGGGTGTGGCTGAAAGTGCCTCATCACTTTCATTCTGGATCCTAGGTGGGTAGATGGGCTTTGGTTGTACCATCTTTTTAAATTTTTAATTTGGTAGATGCTCAAAAGTTAAGGGAACCCTCAAAGGGCAAAGTTAGCATGTGACATATTTGTGTCTCCTCTCTGGACCTTGGTTTCCTTATCTGTAAAATAAGGGAATGGACCAGATCACTGTTCCAGAGCCCAGTGCAACTCCAGGAGTCTGTACTTTGAGGCTTGCTTCTCTCCTAGTAGGAGTTCAGCTCCTCTGCCCTAACTTTTCTGCTGTAATCTGGGTGTTATGAGCTGATTGTGTGCTCCACCTCAAAAATCCAATTACTAAGGTCTTAACCAAGTATCTCAGAATGTAACCACTTTTGGACATAGGGTCTGTATTAGTCTGTTTTCACACTGCTAATAAAGACATACCCAAGACTGGGTAATTTATAAAGGAAGGAGGTTTAATTGACTCACTGTTCAGCATGGCTGGAGAGGCCTCAGGAAACTTACAATCATGGCAGAAGGGGAAGCAAACATGTCCTTCGTCACACAGAAGCATCAAGGAGAAGTGCCAAACAAAATGAGGAAAAGCCCTCATAAAACCATTGGATCTCGTGAGAACTCACTATCACAAGAACAGCATGGGGGTAACTACCTCCCACTGGGTCCCTTTCACAACACGTGGGGATTATGGGAACTATAACTCAAGATGAGATTTGGGTGGGGACACAGCATAACCATATCAGGGTCTCAAATGAGGTCATTAAATTAAAATGAGGTCATTTAATGAGGCCTAATCCAATATGATTGCTGTCCTTAGAAGAGATCAAGACACAGACAGGAATGGGGGAGACCATGGGAGGTCGCAGGTAGAAGGTAACCTCTGCAAACCCAATAGAATGGCCTCAGGAGGAACCTACCCTGCCAGCACTTCGATCTTGGACTTCCAGCCTCCAGAACTGTGGGACAATAAATATCTGTTGTTTAAGACAACCAGTCTATAGTACTTTTTACGGCAGGCCTAGCAGACTAATGCCACATGATACCACAGTGAATGTGCTAGGCTGTGAAAGAAGTTCTGTGCGTTTTTCTTAACAGATTCAGATTTTTGGTTTTAGCTTAAAATAGGTTTTTCTGTCGCAAGATATTTAAAACATGATGTTTGTTTATTTTTTTACAAGTTTCTTTATCATTAGATGTGAAATAAGCCATTTTAGCAAAATAATTCCTTTTTATCTTTACTTGAAGGGGATTTCACAATTTTGACTCACAGGGCTATTTTTTTAAAACAGCTATGGATTGTCATCCTGCCTTTTAAGAAATACTGTCATTGTCTATAAAATTCATTTAAGGCCAAATAGCTCATTAGATAAACTCGCAGATGATGGCACATGTATAAAGAACTTCAGACCACATAAGCAACCGCAGATGCGGCATGGTCCAGTTTCTGTTTAGTACTTTTGGCTCTAAAGTTCATTCAGAGTGAAACATCATTTGATTTGAGTTATAGAAGGGCAAATAAGATGACGAAGGAAGGTTACCACTTATCACTGTTGAAGATTCTCATATTCTTACTTGAAATAAAACATGCTGTGACCAAAGTGGATTTTTCCTTCCTTCAGTATCAACATTCTGTTTCTTTTACAAAACAGTCACATATAATTGGAATGTAGCATCAGATATGTAAGAAGCATAGAATTTCTTTCTCTTTGTAAGTTCCATTTGACTGCAGCAGTGAAATTTCCCGAGAAGGGTGTTTTGAGATCAAGACTGCTCACTTGAGAGGTTAGAGTGGCCCAGGTTATGAGGCTCTACAAGTCTGAGAAACAGATCATCTTAGACACTGAGAGCTGAGGCACATCCTACTTTTTCTACTTACCGTGAACATGCCCCTTAGATGCTGAATGACAGACAATGATAATTCAGATGTAGCACCCTGACACCAAACCAACTGTGGAAATACCAGTAAAATCAGTTGTTTAGTTTTTAAAATACACAACATAAATAAATGACTAGTTCGTATTTTAGCCCCCTTTTTGCTGTGACATAATTACAAGAATGAAAATTTATTTTTTAAAATACATTTTTTCAAAATCCCATCTTGAGGAAAAAAAGCTTGGCCAATTAAGAAGGCTGAAGGGAGGAACTGCAGGCACTTTTATTTCCGGCTATCAACAGAATGGAAAAAATGTCAACTTATTTACATTTATTTATTTATATAGGTGATGAATAAGTTAAGGAACGCTTCATCTCAAACACATATTGCTTTTATTTTAGCTAAGTTAATGTTTCAGTTCCATATATATTTTTGAATTTCCATCAATGCCAAACACCATTTTTTCTTTCTTCTTAAAAAAAAAAAAAAAGATTTACAAGCACTTTTACGGCACTCGAGAAAGTAGGCTGAAGGTTCATAATAATAATTTTCCTTTTAAAAAACATCCATCAGACCAAAATAAAATCATTTTAATTAACTCCTTCCTGAGTAACTAAACCTTGGAATGTGCTGAAAGGTTATAATAAATAAGACAGTCAAAGATCAACTAGCTTAAAAGGTACTTTTTTTTAAATTAAACTATGTAAAATGTACAATATGTTTCATGAAGTACAAACTGTTGGGCCCAGGGCCAAAAAGATGCTGCCATGTTTGCCAAATAAGCTGATGAAGAGCCTTGACTTTTAGGACCTAGAGGGTGTCGGTTGGGACAAAATCCCATTAAGGCCCCGCAAGTCAATCCATCAGTGTCTTTTGTTGTGAAGTTATAATGATCGCTGCTGAAAAACACACAGGTAAAAGTACCCAGGTAAACCTGCAGTAAGAGGATGAATTGTTCTGAATGACCAATTGTCCCGATGTTCTGACAAGAGCAGAGAAAACACAGCCTATTCAACTTTATTTTCAGATTGTGAGATTGCACAGTGTGTAAACTAATCATCATTCTTTATATGGAATTTCATAGAAATGACTCACAGCGTACCAGGCAGCAGTTCCTGTCCTGGTTTTGCATATGATAGCTGTTCTCCAGGTTGTTTTTGAAAGTATGCCTAATGGTAGGGCCTTGGTGTCTCTTAACAGAACAAAGGATATTTCCTTCTCTAAGAACATTTCCCTTAATCGCTTCTCTGCCCCCATCCTCTGAGGCAGAAAGAAGGCCCATGAGCGGCCAAGTGCTCAACTCTGTGTCTCTGTGGTCCCTGCCTTCCCTAGACTCCTGTGGGCTGGAGCCTTCTTACCACACATCTCATGATAAAGTAGCTTTAGAGCTCACTCGGCAGGTTCCCAATGACTTGCTTTATATCTTGGCTACCATCCAACTTTAGTGAAAGAAGAAAAAATTCTAGAGAGACTTGGTGGTTTCTGAAAAGTAGAAAATGTGTAGCTTGTGTAAAGTCAGAGTCTTATTTACTATTAACTACTCCCAACTCACACGTTTGCTAGGGCTGGCGCTAGGGGACAAATACAAAATAGACACAATTTGTTGCAAGTATCCTTCCTGCGCCCACCACTGAATCTCGGCTTCTCAGCTAGCTGTCTGTCGTCTCCCCAGGAGAATGTGCGTTTTCAGGACTTCTTTAAGGTGAAAACATTTCAGAACCCAAAGGAACAGATTTCTAATGACCAAGGCATCGTCAGGTAGCAGGGGAGGGGCGGTGGGAGGTGGAAAGAAGACATGCCTTAGGACAATGAGACTGCCTGACATCCACTCGCATCCCATTGGAGGCAGCCACCTACTTACAAAGCTGGCCAAGCAGTCTCTGCCCTAGAAGCTCTTGCTACTTCTCCTTTTGATGACTCAAGTAAGAGTTCTCAGGAGCACACAGGTCCCATAAGAAATGGGACTCTGCGTGCACAGAATTCAGGTAATTCTTGAGTAGTTCTGCCACATGCACAGAACTCAGGACCCCTTTTGACTGAAAATGGGTACCTCTTAGGGGACTAGAAGTTACAATAGTACATAGTACCAGGTCCTATAGGACCCAGCTTGGCCAGAGGTGTGTCTGACAGATTATATACCATCTGTGGTCAGGCTCAGAACTTCTGCTGGAAGAGTCAAATGCCTGAGCTAAACTGGTTGCTGGAACTTCCATTTAAAGCAGTGCTGGGAGAAGATGTTTCATACTGGGTGCAAAGGACACAACCATGCCCTTTCCCTGATGCCACATGACCTTCAGATTTATCTGTCTGTCTACATTCTTCCTTACACAGCAAACCAATTATTTTCCCTGCTAGGGTGCTTTGATATCTGTCAGCATGGTGCTTGGAAATGGAATGTCTCAATGGAGCTGGCCATGCTCTTTGACCTCGAAAGGTCCTCCAGGCTGTGGACTGGTTGGGGATGTGGTACAAGCTGACTGCTCTTCCAGAGGTAATTACACTGCTCTTGGTGAAAGTGTCCCCTGAGAAGGACCAGAGGCAGAACTCTACCTATGCAGGTAGAAACCACTTACTCAGGGACATCCTCCTCCTTAAAAAAAAAAAAAAAAATTAATTGAGACAGAGTCTCACTCTGTCACCCAAACTGGAGTGCAGTGCTGTGATCACAGCTCACTGTAACCTCAAACTCCTGGGCTCAAGTGATCCTCCCACCCCGGCCTCCTAAAGTGCTGGGATTACAGGCTTGAGCCACGACACTGGCTCCATCCTCCCTTTTGATGTCCTAATCTGTCTTACCTTCTCTTAGATCCTTCCAGAGTAGATTCCCTGGTCTCTGAAGTGATTTTGTATTTCTACTGAAATATGCAAGTCTGGATGTCTCCTACCATTGAGGTAACATTTTTATAAGTCATTTTACAGATGATAAGTTATTAGGCTATGGGCTATATTTCTCCCCCCTTTCCCATCATATGGAGTGGGGGGAAAGCTGATGACGAGATTCCTTGGGATGGAGCCATCTAGTGTAACTGGGAAAGACCCAATGAGCCAGGAGAAAACACAAAATAAAATTAAACAAATAAAACCCGCAAAACCGGGTATCTCCCAATGACCCCAACATGTGGGAATGTTTTGTTCTTTTTAATGCACCCGAGCATTAATGTAGTCCCTTAAGGATTTTACTTCCCCAAACAAAGAACTTTCTGGAAAAGGGAGAATAAAGCCATGGAAGCAACACAGTGCTGCCATCACCTCTTATAAATATCTTCCAGCCACTTTTCATCATCCTGTTCTTCATCATCGATTGGCTCGTCGGTTTCCAGTGGAGTTGGGATAAAGAAGTGTGGCCTTAGTGGGGGCTTGCTGACGCGAGACTTAAGTCCAAACTTGCGCTTCAGCAGGTGGAACTGCTCTTTGACATAGTGGTAGAACTCGTACTCATACCTCATCCGCTGGTAGAGGATCTGCACGGCCTCGGGAGAGGGGACAGTCTTCTTCACCGTCACAGTCATGTTTCCAAGCTTCCTGTGCTCTGGAAGAGAACCAGGGTCGCACATGAGACATCGTTTGCAATGCTTTAGCTTAGGTGGAATCCTGGCAAGGACCCACATGACCTGTACAACTCTGGTAAGGAAGCAATTGCATATCCAAGTATCAGAAGAGAAAGGTTACTGACAATATTTGGAAATATTTACCCAAGTCTAGGTGTTAATGTCAACATTAGTTGACAAAGCACAAGCTACCTAATTTCCTTTCATTGGATGTGAGCCACGTGATCGGACCAAATTCAATTATTAACTGTGAGTTCTACATTCTTTTGAATAGCAGAATCTATCTGTTTTCCCTCTTTGATTTCCTGTTACACCAGGAAAGGGCTTTACCCTCAGAAGGAGGCATGGAAGCGCTGTCTAACCACTTCCTAATAATCTTGTTTTGTAAGTTTAAAAATATTGACATAAAGTTTAATTTGATACAAAACCCATTTCCATTTCATTATTTCAAGAATGCATTTGTCCAGAAAGTAAAGGAAAGGCTGCCAGGTTTCTTAAGTATAATTTAAAAATTTTTAAAATTTATTTATGCTTTTGTAGAGACAGGGTCTCACTATGTTGCCCAGACTGGTCTTGAACTCCTGGCGTCAAGAGATCCTTCTGCCTTGGCATCCCAAAGTGCTGAGATTATAGGAATGAGTCACTGCACCCAGTCTCAATATAATTTTAACTTGTAAAATTTAATTTTTTTCTTGTGGTAAAAATATATAACTAAAAATGCTTAATTTTATATTAATACTTAATAACAAAATATGATCTTTTATAGTCAATGCTGAATAGCATGAAAATGTTATATATATAGTGTACAATTTTAACTATTTTAAAGTGTACACTTCAGTGGCATTAATTATATTTACCATGTAGTGCAACCATTACCACTACTTTGAAAATCCTTTCATGAGTCTATACAAAAACTCAATATTCATTGAACAATAACTCTCAATTCCCCTCCTCTCCTTACTCCACCCTAGGTAACCTCTAATGGACATTCTATCTTTATGAATTTGCCTATTCTTAGTACTACATATAGGTAGAATCATACAATCTTTGTCCTTTTTTTGGTGTAGCTTATTTCACTAAGCGTAATGTTTTCAAGGTTCACCCATGTCGTAGAGTGTATCAGAACCTCATTCCTTTTAAGGCTGAATAACATTCATTGTATAGCTAGACTGCAATTTGTTTATCCTTCCATCCATGGAGAGACACTTGGGTTGTTTCCATCCTTTGCTTATTATAATGGACATTTGCATTCCAGTATCTGAGTCCCTGTTTCCAATTATTTTGGGTAGATACCTAGGAGTAGAATTGCTGGGTGATGCAGTAATTCTAAGTTTAGTGTTTTGAAGAACTGCCAAACTCTTTTCCACAGTGTTTGTACCATTTTACATTCCTACCAGCAATGTGTGAAGGTTCCAATTTCTTGGAATTCTCTCCTACAATTGTTATTTTCCTCCCTTTTTAAAATTGTAGCCATCCCGGTGTGTGTGGAGTGGTATCTCACTGTGGTTTGGATTTGCATTTCCCTAATAACTACTGATAGTGTTGCTGATGCTAATTGTTTCCCTAATTTCTAATCACCTTTTCATGTGTTTGTTCGGCAAGCACATGTCCAACAAGTGCTATCTGTTTGTATATCCTCTTTAGAGAAATGTCTATTCAAGTCCTTTGCCCATTTCTGAAGTGGGTTTTTTTGTTTGTTTGTTTTCTTTTGTTGTTGAGTTGAAGGAGTTATTTATATATTCCAGCTAATCTGCATATATATCAGGTATGTAATTTACAAGTATTTTCTTCCATTCCATGGGCTGTCTTGTCACTCTGTGATGTATGAAAGTTTTTAATTTTAACGAAGACCATTTTATGCATTTTTCTCATATTGCCGGACTTCTGGTGTCATGTTAAAATAACCATTGCCAAATCCAAGGTTGATGCATAAAAGTTTTACAATTTAATAGAGACCATTTTTATCTACTTTTC